CAAAACCCCAAAACCCCAAAACCCCTTGATACAGTAATTACCTTAAAAATATTGCAATTAAATTAAAAAATTTATTCATATTTGTTAAACTTAAACACTGATAGACAAATTAAAATTCGATTTTTAAACTCCTTATTCGCTTCAATCTTTAATTCTTAAAGGTCATTTTATCACAAAGTATCATCACTAGGGTAATGTAGTATCGTCACAAAATTCAGATTCTTCAAGATTACAGTTGATAGTATTGCCACTTTTTATTTGGACCTCCTCCTAAATTGGTGAATGCTATAATAGAATATGAACTTTATTCGTATTTGTTCTAGATTTCAATCCAATATCTTAGTCAATAAAACCTTTAGAATTATAATTACTCAATGTAGATATAACTTAGACATTACTAGAGTCTCTATTATCCTAAGAAGGAATTGAACTTTAGATTATAGTAGGACAAATATTCTTATGAGATTGAGAAGAAGAGCTACCCTGATGAGTTGGACTTTATTGCTAAAAATATTTGTTATTTGAATGCGGCATGTAGTTCTACAAAGTATTTTCACTTATTCTATTCGATTTTAGAATTTTAAATTCATCAATAACTTCAACTGTACTCCCATTGAATAAACCATTCTTTTAACTCACTTCATTCAGTATAGAATCAGTATTAATTGAATCAGTCTAATCTGTTGAGAAGTCATTTGATCTATTCTTTTATGAGAAGTACTACATGCAATAAAGCAGTAAAATAGGAAACATTATCATAAAGATGTGAAAAGCTAAAAAGATCATTCTAAAATAAAATAAAATTATTCATGATTTCTTACTGTTAGTCTTCAATTTTTCTAATTGAGTCTGGTGCTACTTCTTTCATTAGATTGTATATTACTCTATAGAGTAAACTAACTGTGAATATGCAAGTTGCCATCACTAGCTTAGACTTCTCTCTTGTAAAGGAAAATCTTTTAGAAACCAAATGGCGATTTATATAGACGTATTGCAAAGCATTGACAAATATCATCAATATCATAAGGAAGAAGTAAGATGTTAGTTCATAGATATGATTTCTAAAATTTTTACATTAAGAATTTGAATTACATTTCAAAACTGCAATATATATCATCAATAACCTCTCTATTATTTGAGCATCCATTGTCATACTTTATTACGAGATCAAATGTAGCGTACACAATAAGAATTCCCATATAAACTATATTTTTAAATCATCAGTTTTGCGGAAATATTAAATTACTCAAGATATTTCAAGAAAAAAATCAAACTTACTTCTAATGAAGAGCTTAATTAATTTTTTTCGTTTTAGAGTGCTCATGAGCTTAGATTGATGTGAAAAGATAAGTTTGATACTAAAATGGTTTTAAATTTGCTATTTAAAATAAGTTAAATTACTTATTCTGGATATAACAAAGAGCAGCCATTTGAAATGCATATGAGGGGTAGAATCAAAATATGTTGAAGGCACAACAGCTAAATGATGAACGCATCATTGGGTAAATACAAACTAGTATCACAGCTATTTAAATTCTTTAAGCATTAATGAAATTTACCAAGTAGTGTTGTTAATGAAAAGTAATAAAACAAGAGAAGAGCTGAATTTCTAAATCTTTAGTTCCCAAAACTATTGCTAATGCTACTATAGTGCTATACAAGCTGAGGTAAACTATTTGCACTACTTGATTATTATCTATAGAATCACTGTCACCTTTTGTCTCGTGTATTTCTTTTTTCATTTGACTACTACTCACTAATTTACATTGGTTATACCATTTATAATTACCATTTGGATAATTGCTGTCTATTATGTATGAAGGGAAAGTAGGATTGAATATATGGTTTTTATTTCGATTGTTTGGATAATAAGTCTTAATTGTTTACATTTATAATTATTAATGCTGATCTTTAATTATTATTATCCAAAATTATATTATTATTATATTAATTTAACTTATCTAAAAATCACTTATAAACAATTGGGGTTTTGGGGTTTTGGGG